TTTTTTTTTAAGTTTGAATGCCGATATTCTGTTGATTTCTTTATTTACTATTGTTATTATTAACAATATGAAATAAAAATAAAAGTGATAATGGATCTGTGTGATCTTCTCTCTTCCGTTCATAATATTATATTGTGATATAATAAAATAGTTAATTACTATATTCATTTTTTGTAATAGTCCCAACTCCCATTGTTCGAACTCTCTCAATGTGTGAATGAGTGAGAATTTTGCAAATAATAATAAATATTACCATTATGTATAGGAACATCTTTAGGAACACCCATATATTAAAACGTTGATGCAATCTATTTCGCACTATTCAAGTTCGTTGACATTTATTTAACTAAAAAACACATTTGTATTATATTGTAACAATTTCTGTTAACCACAAATGACGATTTGTATAATTCTATAATTACCATAAATAAGCAGATTTAAACACACTCCGTTTTTTTCACAGTTTCTACGCTTACGCTTCATTGCCAACATAGCCATTAAGTTATTTATTATTTAAGAAATTTACAATAGCCAATAGTTTTTTCTCTGCCATTTATTTGTATGCACATACGTACATAGATATTATTTGTATATGTCAACATGGGGCGAAAGGGACAACACAGCTTTCCCATAAATCAAACACACAAATGACCAATTAATAAATTATTAAAATGTCGAAATATAAAATGAAATTTAATTTTCTAATGATACCAGTGAAACCCGATTAAATGACACATAGCACATCATTTGATCCCCAGCTATTTTATGTTGCATGTGAAACCGCAACATAAACCGACCAAACGGATAACAAACTCCAGCAACACACACCCCGACGTACATGTATAATTCATAGGAACTTACACGAGTTTGCTCAAATGGTTTGTGTGGTGTTCTGTTGCTTTGTGTGGATGTGTGCGTGTGTCTATTGTGTGGCGAAAAAGGAAAGCCCCAAATGTAAAATGTGTCAAATGGGTCACAGATGCACCCTATTTCAATTTAATAACATTTCAGTTGGTAGTACAGATGGCAACCGCAACATATTTAAAATGTAACCGCTTTTATGCACTCACATATTAACCCATTCGACCGCAACATAATTTTCACGATTGACATACATACGTACACACAGATACTCGTATATTTTGGAGCACTACAACAAATAACAATAACAACAACAGTGCCGTAGTCACAACATATCACATGTACACAACAACTTCAAAGGTTAACTGAACTTTCTTCTCTGGCAAAATGTAAATGACATGTCAATTGTCCTGATCTTGCCATTATAGCCAATCAAAGACTCTGGGCTAGTATTAAAACAATTGAGATTGTCCAGGATTGTGTGTGTTTGACATACTTTGCATTTCTAACTACAGAAAGTAATTTTTCATATGGAAAGATATCCCACTGAGGTAAGGACTTCGTTTAATGAATAAGTGGGTACAAATCAGTGCTCTGCCGGAATGTTTATTAAGAGAACATGTATTGACAAGAAGTTTACTCTTTCAAATGGTGTTCAATGTTAAGGTAATCCAGTGGTAATAGCTTTTATTCGGTATTTTGGTTGTTTATTTTGAGGTATTTACAATCTTCAAACATGGTTAATTCTTCTGTAAACTGCTTAAAATTATTAATATATTCTCGAGATCTGGAGATTCCAAATATCATAGAAATTGTGTTAGTTGTGCGAAACTGTATATATTCTAGAAAATCTTACACAGAACAACAAAATTGTTTTTAGTTTTTGGGGGTTTTTTGAAATATGCAGAAAAACAAGCGGTGAAAATTATTTTCAATGTTGACAGATTTATAGGTTTGAAAGACATTGTACAATTTTGGATTTCTAACTCTTCACTCCTTCCGAATTTTCTTAAAACTCTATACGAAATATGCAAAATGTCGTGAAAGCAATAGAACTCTTTAAAATTAAAATAAATAAATATATATATATATATATATATATATATATTAATCGTGAAATGTTCAAAGTTTAATTTTATTCCATGACTAAGTAAACCACATATGATGTTCAATATTTTGTTTTTCATTTATAACTGAGCGGAAATTATACAATCTGCTATTGATTTTAGCGGTAAGAAATCTACACAAACTCCTGTCTCCTGTTGAATCCCACTACTTGTTACACTCCCATTATATTGACGTGATACACATCCACAACATTGCAACCATAAACTTAACGATGATGATGATGGCGAGATGACGAGAAGACCAAACGCTGCTGATGAATATTATTAGACAAGTCATTGGCAAGACGTGTACTAAACAATCACAGAACAAATTATTACCAACATACACCGGATATCGATAAATCAGTTTCCTCCTGCAGTTGACTATTCGCTGACTTAGCTGCGTCGTCGTCAGAGTCGTTTGCTTCCTCTCAGCTTCTAATCATTATATGATGTTTCTTGTGGACCATCTCTACCCCACATTGTTCGAACATGTGACATAAACGACGACCCGGACAACAATATTGGCAGTTATGTACATCAACTAAATGGCTGTTTAGTTGGATTGGCGTTGACTTTCAATACCATCAACATTAATGGGAACAACAACAAGAGCAGCAGCAGCAGCAGCAGCAAGGAAGCATCTATGGTATTATCATCGCCAGAAACGCCAGACAACAACCAAAAATCAATTCCACGGCACATTACGCCCCATAAAAAACCACAACAAATGATTGAACGCTTGACGCACAGGCCAACTGCCGCTACTTCGCCATGCCGCGGAACTGTCATCAAGCAATCATATTCGTGTTGTGGTCTCGCTTTAAGTGCGGCCCCAGATTTAATTCCCCAACGACAAATCTGTTGGTTATCGCAGCCACCTTCGTGGCCATGCCGTAGTGGTGGTCTGTTTTACGTTCTGACTTTAATTTTTTTTTTGTAGGCAGTTTTATATCAATTTAAAATAGTCTGTTTAATGTACACTGCTCTCGAGCGGACATCGTAAACCTTAAAAACGATTACTCACTCGAGTATTTGCCAAATAAAACCAAAATTGAAATGAATCCGATGTGACAAGGGACGCGAAAGACAGCATTTTACGAGTAGACGATTGGTGGCACGTGGGCGGAGAAGTATCGAAGCCGATATCAGCGACACGATATCGCCAATGACATCTTTGTTTCGGCAAAATTTATTCATTTATTTCATTTCTCTCAACGAACGCCTCTAAAAGTGCAAAGTGAAATAAACTACATGGCCCAGGGCTACGTAATAGTTGAGTATTTTAATGGCATCCTCTTGTGGCAATAAAATTTAAATTTAATGAAATGCCACACAACTGCATACAAAAACAGTTAAATTTAACGATGAAATTATGAGAGTTGAAGGCCATCAAGGTGAAAGGAATTTTGCGGTAACAACCAACCAACAACAATAACGAAAACTGAATGAATAAAATAACGACGATGTCGTGTAAATGTGTATTTTCGTTTGTAAAATAAACTGAATTGATTTCCAAGAAATATATATCACAATACAAATAATGTTAAAGTCGAGTTAATTTAGTTCAGTTATTTCCAACGAATTTTAATGCCTTTTTCACAATAAGTATTTTAAATACTTTCGCAAAGGTTGATGTTAAGGGACGGTTAAAAGGTAGAACATGTTACTTATTTTCTTCTGTATGATTTATTTACAGATCCTATATTTATTTTAATATTATATGCCTTTTTGATATTAATAATCCTATTAATTGAAAACAAGATGAAAAAAAGGTCTCCTGAACGAAAATTCGGCCAATTTTGGTAACAACTGTAGAATTTGCTCACAATGAAGGAATATCCTGCATTGGCTATTTATGGCCAATCATCCGCAAAAGCCCATATTTATATCTTCACAATAAAAAAACAAACGGACTGTGAGAGAAAAATAATAGTGACGCATAAAATTTGAAATTAAAAGAATATATTTTTCAAATTCCAGGCACTTAAAATCTTCTAAAAAATAGAATAATACATCCGCTACAGCAATAACCGACGATCGGTGTATACCGAAACGTTTTTTCTTATTATTCGAATGGCTTAAAATAAAAATATTGCAATTTGTCGAATATAACAAATTAAATCCGAACAAATGCCATTGCAGGTGCCATTTGTATGAAATTACAACGATTTAGTTAACCTGCAACATATTGTTGTTATCGCCCGATTGAAACATGCTGTACACAATTGTTGCTGACAGCGAACAACAGTGATTTGGCGGCAATGAATAATTAATTCCACAACTGACACTCAAACGGGGGCAAATGTTATTGGGTGTTGCAATTGAACTCTGCAATTCAAGTCCACTGACCTTTAACATCATCTAGCCGAGTCGAGCCCAAAATAACAGACACCCGAAGGGAATGAAGAAAACCAAGCAACACAGATACGAGTTAACTAGTCAACGTTTAGAGTCGAATACGAAAAACATAAAAAATATAACACACAGACAATAGCAAACAGGTGCATAGATTGCTAGCTAGCTAGCCAGTCTATTTGCCACATGTGAATGATGACAATTCCCGGCAACAATTCCCAACAACAACTACAACTGGAGTACATTACACCAGCTAGATAGGCGCACACACACACACATACACATAGTCGACATTTTAGGTTCACTGTTGTTATGCCAATTTGCATATGCACCAATGTTGCATGTAGTATTGTTTGTGAATTTTGTTGCATACATTTGTTGTAGCTGCCGTTGTTGGCGTTGATTGCCCTGACAGAGAATGAATGCAGGGAATTATTGTCGACAAACTCACACAACAGACAGCCAGCCAGCCATCCATCCAGTCAGCCAGCGAGCCCTCCAAAGCCCAGAGAAATGAGAAAAATAATTATTTTAATGTGTGCCGGCATTGGCAGGGCGATGACGCCAACTAAAAGGCAAAGGATGAACAACAATGAAAGGCTTTCGTCGAGGGAAGCAATGAGAATGGGAATAAAAATGAAAAATTGAAATTATGCATTGCAATGTTGCACTTACCAAAGCAGGCGAAATGAAGATTTTTAATCCAATGTTGCTGCCGCTGACGACGATTATATTGTCGATGGTGAAGATGCGAGCAATGATGTTCCTTGGACGACGACAGCAGCTGCACCGGGTGTTTGTTGTTATGCTGACTGTGGCAATGTTGCTGCTGTTGTTGTTGTTCTGGTTGATGCTGATAGAGACGATGACAATGCTGACATGCATTGCTTGAGGCTGTGGCACCAGCTGCAACTTCAGTTCTATTTGTGGCAGATAAGGCAAATGGAATTTGCCCAGGATCTGGGGAATCCATGTTGGCTGATATTAACAACATCAGCTGGTAGTAGTTTCAGTGGAAATGTAATGCAATGGTTTTAGAGTTTTTCCTGTGTAATTATTATTATTATTAGATTTGTTGTTGTTTTCGTTTTAGCCAGAGAGATAGATGATAGCCAAGAAGAGGAAGAATCGTATTCTCCAGCACAGTTAGTAGAATAAGATGGCAGTATGGCTTTTGGTTAATAGCTGGGACTTTTGGTTTGGTTTGTTTATGTTTTGTTTTTAATTTGCTTGATTTGTTGTTGCTTTGGTTTTTGTTGCACGCTTTTTGGTATGAACGCTAAGAGCGACATGTGAGAATGATTTGCAATGATGGCCAGTAGTACATCATTTTGCTTACGTCGGTCGCTCAGTCACACGCACGCACTCAGATGTTGACAGCAATAAAAAAAGAAAACAGGCGAACACGAAAGAAATGTTTCCAATTCCGTTTTCGGTTATTTGTAATCCTTCTCTGGGATGGATGTAATAACGAACTTTGTTCTTGTATTCCTTTTGAGTTGGTAGTTTGGTTGACTGGCTGGCTGGTTGTTTGGTTGGTTGGATGGATGGGGAGCGTTGTCGTAGCCGTCAATCCTGATGGAGATGCTGTTTATGTTGGCCAGAGGAAAGGATATCCACATTTAAAATTGAAATGTCGATGCTGTTGGCATTTCTGACATTTTATTAAGAATTCCTTTTTGTTTTATTTTTAGGATTTGCATTACAATTTTCGAATGGCGAATGGAGCCTTGCGTCACAGCATTCATTCATCCACTCACTCACTCACAATAAAGCCAAAGGCCAGCTAACAAAAATGTTTTTACACCATCAACAAAAACTACAGACAGGCTATCTATGGCCACTGACCGACCTACCGACCGATGAAGATTTTGTCGGTTTCTGGTATTTGGTTTATTTGTTACTTTTCCTCAGTCCGTTTGTACGGGTGTATGTGGCTGTATAGCTGTTGTTATTTTTATTATTTACGGTCATAAAAAACGCCTCTTTATAGGCATTTCAATATGATGCTAAGCTGCTGCTGCCTGGCTTGCTTGCTATCCCTGGCAACTGGTAAATCCAAAACCCATCAAAAAGAATGTAAGCATCGACAACTCCTTACTTGGATGGGTGTGTGTGCGTGTGTGTTTGTGTGGGGGTCGGAACCCATTCATTTATTCACGGGAATTGTGGTAGCAGCATGCGGCCAGCATATGGCCCTACTATGGCAGATGAATGAATGGTTCGTTCGTAGGTTGGTGTCGTTTGTGTAAAAAGACTTCTGCTTTGGGGTACTGCGTGGTTGGTTGTCTTCCGTCTTCACATTGGATTCTATTGTGATTTAATGCTTACATCAGCTGAAACTATTCCAGTAGCTAATTAAGAATCATAAACGTGCCACAGTTTGACCCTTAGAAACAGCATTATCAGCACACTTGTCTTGGCCAAGTTAATTTGTTATTGTGTTGTTTGTTGTTATTGTGTTTGTCTTATTCCCTAATTCGTAGTATTGTTGAAAGAAAAAAGAAACTCACAATAAATACGAAATTCTGTTTTTTTTCTATGTTATTAAATTATCATCACTCTATTTATCATTGTATTTGTAAATTCGCATTACAGATTTCCACTTGTTTTCGTTTTCTTTTTTCATTCGGTAAGTATTTTTTTCGCCTTCTTTGTTCGCTGTTTTCTTTTAACCAAATTTTTTGCAGGATAACGCGACCATACGCAACGATAATAACGAAATATTCTCAATGAACGATTACGAGTACGAGTAGACGAAGAAAACGCAACACACAACTCTAGAATCACACACACAAATTATAGTCGGACTTTTATTTGGTCCACCGTATCACTGGGGCCAATTTACATCTTTCACAAAATGCACGGTGGAAAAATTCTTCATTGGGGACACAACGTCACAAAACGACATAATTCTTTTCTATTCGCAATGATGCTCTTTAGCAGTAAATTTTCATCAAATTTGCGAGATATTTATTATTTTGCACTTTTTCTATTCTTCATTCATTCATTCTTTTCTCCTTGAATTTGCCTTCCATTGCCCGGAGTTGGCGAGGAGAGGAAAATTGGCTAGGATGGTGGTGACGTACGTACGAACATACGTATGTGAGTGTGATAGTCGAAATATTCCGATAGAAGAACTTGTGATGGTTGGTGTTTTTGTTTTTCCACTTCTTGGATGTTGAAAGCAAAACGAAATAAACGCGCGTGGCTCAGTAGAAATTACCGTCAATACCGATTCAGAGCTAAAACCGAACTAACGGCAGTTTCCGCATAGGCATACTCATAACTGCAGCGCAACAGCTAAACACTACACTTGAATGCTTGCTGGCTGGTATGGCTCTCTTTTGAGTACGACGGCAACAACAACACATCACACACTCGCCCTCTAAACGGGCATAACATGTAAGCGTATGGCGTACGCAATAAGACACTTGACAAGACTCCCGTTTGTGGAGGCTGTAAGCAGCAACCAGAGACGCACACAAGTGAGAGTGCCAGAGTTTCCTTTTGGGCGACTTCAAGAGTGTAGTTAAGCTACGCACATGAATGAGAACAACCAGAGAGCGTTTATGTGAGAGTGAAGGAGAGCGCCACATTGAGAATAACAAGAAAACACATGTGGGAAAATGTTGATAAGAACCAGTTTCACTTTCGAAATTCGAAACACCCCAAGTGCGCTGGCTAAATGGATGTCAGGTTGGTTTGTTGGTTGACTGGCTGTGTTCTCTGTTTACACTCTCTCACATATTCAGCTTCGTGTTTGCTTACAGTTTGCATTGGCAAAAATAACCATACAAATGGTCTGCAGTGCGCAATGCCTAAAGGAAGCTGGAATTCAGCCGCCGATTGTCACAAGTGTGGGTATATAAACAAATGTAGAAACAATAAAAAGTTTTCAATAGAAAACTTAACTTAAACTAGTTTTCAAAAAAATTCTATAGAATTTGAAATTAAATAATAATTATTTGTTAAATAGAATCAAACCGAACATGAAATTGGCGAGAATTTTTGCATATACTAACAATATGCGGCACGTTAGATAGTCCAATTGGCAAGAGCGTAGAAGCGGTTATGTTTTTTTTTTTCTTTCACATTTTTAGAGAGGCAAGATGTTGACCTTTGAATTTCTCATTCTATGCTCTCGCTCTCGTCAGCCACACACAAAAAAAAAAGAAATACCGAGCGCACGCAAACACTCCATCCTGAGATTCGCAATTGTTTCGTGAATCCTTTAATCCTCCCGGATGCCGTTGTTATTTCAATTATCGCTTACTATTTATGACATTGGTGGACATATGTTGCTACTGTCTACTGTCATATGTATGTTTGCCAGCGTGTTCGAGCATTTACTATATGGAGGGAGTATCGGCAGCAGTGTTCCTCCTAGTCGTCAACTATTATGAATTGCGTTACGCTTCTTCCCATCACAACATTAAATTGTATATTTCACATAACATCGTGCACTGGCACGCACTCATCTCATTTCGACTCGTTTCGTTTCGACATCACTTGTAACATTCTCTCAATCATTGTGCCAGGACGAAAAAATCTGCGAAAAGGAAGACAGGCAGAGTAGTTCATTGCGGAAAGAGCAACTACTCCAAATATGTAGTTGTGCCATTCCAGCTGCGAGCGAGTTACGAATATTTAATGTTGCGTTTGTCATGTGCACGCTAGTCTACATCAATGTCAATACACTCATACATACTCATTATTTGTGCCACAAACAAGCAAACACACACTCGCACCCATTTCCCCCACAACATTTTAGTGTAAACAGTGCTCTTTGGCCCAAGAAAATTAATGTTGAACATCTTTTGTTGCCTTTTTGTTCCGTATATTCGTACATATTGTGCGTGTTTATGGGTAATTTGCCGCAGGGGGGCAAATATGCGACAAGTAGGTAATGTATTGTTACATCTTCATAAAGGTATAATTTACTTAATGTTGAATTGTGAAAATGAAAAGGATGCGAGGCATTTAAAATACAATTGCCTTCAGTTTGTTATTGAAAAATAAATACATAGAGATAATAAACAAATGTAGGGTACAACTTGTTACCCAACATCATGAGAATGAAATGCGCTATCATTAATGAGGTCTCCATCAAAGAACCAAAACAAGGATATATGAAATCCAAAGAAGTAGGAGAGACTGGGGCACCTTCGGCATCGGGGCACATTCGGCAATCTCGTTTTCGATATGAAGCTCTCACCGGACATCACCCTCTTCGATACATAGGTATCGAATATCAAAATAAATACCTGTCGCAAAGTTTGAAATCTCTAGCTAATATACTTATTTAGATGCAGGGTTTTTTGTATTTTAACAGATGTTTTTGTAATATTTCCATTCCATTTCGTTTATAAAACTTTTAAATTTTTAAGGCAGTATTATTAAAAAGTAGTTAATTACAATGTGCATTCTTATAAAAATAATTTAAAATATAATATTTTTAGAAGATTGATAGAAATAAATTAAAAAACAAATAAATAAAAAAGTACCTTCTGGTAGATTCGGCATTTTGATGTGGGGCTCATTCGGTCATATACAGATAGTGCGATATTATTTCTTTAAAATGTGTTTGAGTTTGTGTTCAGAAATAATCCTTTAATATGGTTCGAAATGACATATATAAGACCAAAAGTTCTTGTATTGGCGAAAATGCGATGTGGAAGAAACTACCCGAAACTAAACCGTTTTGAAGCTCTAAACAAAAAGTACAGTCTCCCCTACTGTTTGTTGCATTTTACATGAGCAATTGCTAAAAAAGAACTGACCACAGAACAATAATACAATGACAGTCGTCAAATAAACATAAACCCTGTTGCATTTGTTTTTAATTATTCTGTCATAATAAGCCAAAACGTAGATATGTATTTTTCTTTCACCGTCTAAATACATTATTTTACAATTCTTCTTTGAGGAATCCATCAAAAATGCTAAGAGTGCTATTTTTCCAGAAGACCC